TTGTCCGCCACCCCGGCAAAATTCAAAATTTCCTACCAACTGAAAATATTAGGTGTGTCCCGCGCGCTCATATGACCTTATGCAGTTGCGAGCGCCGTAAAACACTTTACAAAAACAAAACAAACTCTTACTATAACATAACAAATCTATTACTGCATTCTCCTTCCCTTCTTGCCTTTTCCTATCGTGGTGTATCCAACATTATGAACGATCAAACCGTTACAGGCTGTGATCGGGGTGGTTGGAGGGTGCTTGCTCTGCAAGGGGAGGGAGAGGGGGAAGAGGCGAAGGAGGAAGGAGAGGGGATGCAAGGGGGGAGGAGAGGGGTCGGGAGAAGGGATGCATGGGGAGGGAGAGGGAGAGATGGGAAGGGGTGAAGGAGGAGGGAGAGGGATTCAGGAGAGGGAAGGGTAGGGAGAGAAAGGGAAGGGATAGAGCAGGAGGAGGGAGAGGTGTGCAGGGGTGGAGAGAGTTTAGTTTTTGTAAAAAGAGTTTTACGGCACTTGCAACACAATAAGGTCCTGTAAGTGCCGAAGATTAGAGGTGTTACAAGATAGTAACAAACATAAAAAGGAGGAGGAGAGATCAGGACAATAGATTATGTTTGATAGAAAAGAAGGAATAAACCACACCAGAGCACCCGCCAACCACCCACGGGGTGAGAGAAGGGATGCAGGAAAGGGAAGGGGAGGGAGAGGGGAAAAGAGTTGAAGGACGAGGGAGGAGGGTTGAAGGACGAGGGAGAAGGGAGGAGAATGGATGCACGGTAGGAGGGAGTGAAGGAGGAGGGAGAGGGGATGCACTGTAGGAGGGAGTGAAGGAGGAGGGAGAGGGGATGCACGGTAGGAGGGAGTGAAGGAGGAGGGAGAGGTGATGCACGGTAGGATGGAGTGAAGGAGAAGGGAGGAGGGATGCACGGTAGGAGGGGGTGAAGGAGGAGGGAGAAGGGATGCTGCCCATTACCACTCGGTATATATCGGACTGTCCTGTGAACTGGGGCGTGTCTGCAGTGGTTAACGAGGAGACAGACCACCAGCCACACCCCAGACATTGAGAGACGCGTGGTGCTCTTTTGTCCTGTCTCCATTGTTTTAACATTGAAAGTGGGATTTCTTCTTAAGCTCACCCTTTGTTAGGAACTGTTTTAACATTGAAAGTAGGATTTCTTCTTAAGCTCACCCTTTGTTAGGAACTGTTTTAACATTAAAAGTGGGATTTCTTCTTAAGCTCACTCTTTGTTAGGAACCGTTTTCACTGTTATGATTAATGGAGATAGGACAAGAAATCAGCGAGGTCATGTTTAATTGAGAGCCAGGATTGTGTAACTAATTGTTGTCTCCAGCTGTGAGCTCCTGATATTGGTCTTCTGCGACGTAATGATGACCTGTGTTTTGTTTGGTTTTTGTCTTGTTTTAGTGGGGGG